GTGAGCCTTTGCAACTTTTGCAGCTGTCACAGATAGGGAGCCTGAGCCCCTGCATCTTCTGCACCTGGAAGAGTAGGAGTAGGAGGGGTAGGAGTAGAGTAGGAGTAGGAGTAGGAGTAGGAGGAGCAGAAGGAGTAGGAGGAGTAGGAGGAGCAGGAGGAGTACGAGGAGGAGGAGGAGTAGGAGGAGTAGGAGTAGAATTAGGAGCAGTAGCAGCAGCTGTAGCAGTAGAAGAAACAGTGGCAGTGGTCGTACTAGTCGTACTAGTCGTAGTCGGCGTCGTGGCAGTAGTCATAGTCGTAGTCGTAGTGGTAAGGTAGCGGCAGTGGCAGTGGCAGTGGCAGTGGTCGTGGTCGTGGTATGTCGTGGTCGTGGTCGTGGTGTAGTACTGGTAGTGGCACTGGTGCTGGCAGTGGTGTGGTAGTGAAAGTGGTAGTGCAGCCGTAGTTGCAGTGGTAGCGCGAGCGCTGCAGTAGCACAGTAGTGCGGTGGTGCGGCAGTGCGGTAGCGCGGCAGCGCGGTAGCGGTAGCGGTAGCAGCAGTAGCAGCAGTAGTGCAGATTGATCCCTAAATTCTAAATGCCGAGACCGTTTTCAACAGCCGCATTTTCATACCTGCATTTGTGGTCCTCCGGCGACAGCTGCCGATCCAGCGCCGGCACGAGAGAGGCCGCGGGCTGCAAGTTGAAGGGACTTGTGTTTCAAGGCTTTGTGTTTCAAGAATAGATTCGGGGACTGGAGTCTACGGTACAGGATACAGGATTTGGACGCAGGCCTTTTGGTGCTTACATAACAGCCAGATACTGCTGATGAGGACAGCCAAACGTCGAAAGCTCGTATAGTTCAACACGCCCCGGTGTTTTGGCAAAAAATCCTCGAACCCAAGCTCTTACAGGATTCAGGGATCTCTGCCTGCTGCTTCGCAGACCAATCCAATGCGAAGCGGGCTGGAAGAAAGGGTGTGCCTCGAGGCAGGGCGGCTCGGCTCCAAGCAAAGCAAGGGACTCACACTGTGCTTGCAACCCAGCGTCGGCCGGGATTCGAGTCGGCGCTGCCCCTTCGCGGACTGTCCTCTCAGGGTGTCTTGGCTCGATGTGGAGCGGTGCTCAAGCTAAAAGCAACTCTGAAGCCAAACCCACGGTTGAATACACAAATACACAATCCCAAAACGTTCTCTCCTTCTGAGTGGTGTCTGCCATGAGCGCTGCCTCGAAGTCAGGTGTAGGATGCCCGAGGATGAATTTCCAGGCTGTACCCGAAGTGGCGACACAAGCACTGTCGGTGGAATAAGGTCCAGATCTAGCGAACTAGAGCTTTCGTGCGAGCGCGAGGCTCTGCAATGTCAGCAGTCCGTGTTCGACTAGACTAGGCATGACCTGATTTTTTCTTATCCATGCCAGTTGTTCCTTCGACAGCACAGAGTCTGTTATTACACAAACCGAAACTCTCATGTCGGGAAATGGAAGTTGATGTTTTAGTGTTTTAGTAACGCTCAATTACGCCAACTTCTGCCCGCTGCCTCGGACTCGAAGCTCCGCCTCCAGCCTCCTGCCTGGATGCAAAGCCACTTGGCACTTGGGGAAATGTAACTAGGTCGAATTTGCTATGGGCACCCCGGTCTGACAACAGATGATTTGGTGGTTGTTTAGGCAACCTAAGAAACTTATGACCTGCCTTGCAACCTGGGCTTGGTCACCTTCACACTAAACTTGGGAGCAGCTTCATGGCACCTTTTCCTGTGAGAACATGCTTGCCCCCGAATGCAGCAGGAGCAAGAGACAGGTCCGCCTACATGTGAAGGCAATCCTCGCCAACTGATCGAGCAAACATGAGAGAGCCCCTGGAAGTTAACCTGCTTCCCTACATCATCTGGGCTGGGCCGTCCACTGAGGCCGACCCCAGAGGGTTGGAGTTGATCCCGGACAAAACGCTGGAGCTGCTCCTGCGCCAGAGGCTTGGGAAGCTTGGGGCAACTGGGGACTTTCTTGGCGGAGTTCGTTTCAAGCCGAGTAGCTCGGACCAGCTTTGCTGGCGCGCCAGGCTCAGGTCCTCCGAGGAGAACCCGAAACTCGCGGCTCTGGTGCAAACTGTAAGTTCAAGGCCCGAGACCAGAATTCAGAATGGATCCAGTGAAGCCTAAATCTGAAAGGCGGCGTCCTGTGGCATCTTCAGCTCACCGTTCTCTTCCGTAGGGGGCAACGACCTCAAAAAATAACTCGACTGTAACCGTGTAACCGTTAACACGATGTGATTAGCGGCATGCCAGGGCCGATATCATGCAGTCTGGCAAGTCGAACAGAGAATGCTAATCTGCCCCTGTCACGCTAGACATAGCCTCACCGCCACACAAACTTTGCTCAAAGCCACGAGCCACGCAGAGTTAGAGTCGCCAATCCGACTCCAAGCACAAGGGATACCCATCCGACCAAGAAAAGCAGCTCAGGGCTGTGCCTCAGCTCTGTCACCATTTCCCTCACCGGCGAGCCGCCACCGTCCTCGTCCATGCGACGGTGAAGAAACACTTACTGTCACTGACTATTTAGCCTTTGTACTGTAGGCTTCGCAACCTATTGCGGCTACGCCAATCTGCTCGTCACCACGCTACCCTATTCCTGCCTTATATAGCAAAATCAGACCAGCGCTGTGGCGAAGCGACAAAGGCAGAAGCGCCCAAGGGCGCATGACGACGACAACACAAGCAGCACTCACGAAAACACCCGGAGGTGCCTATCGTTTGGGCCTAAGCGCAATCGTGCACATCAGCTGCTGCTGCCATTCGAATGCTTTGCAACTCCAATTGCGCGAGTGCTACGGGACAACGACCACTACGACGACGGCGGTCATGCTGAAGTCGATCTTCGTGTTCATGCTTTGATGCTCGAGGCCCAGCGGGTCCTTGATAGCGTTCATGTCCACGATGAGCCTCGGCACGAGCCGAGGAACCGATAATGCCGACGCGGAACACACAACCAAATACCGATGCTAGCACCGAAAGAACGCTGCCTTGGTATTGCCGACTCTTGTATCAGCAGGACGTCTCTGTTGCAGTCTGAAAGAAATCAGAGCCCGCACTGACAAATACCCATCTCAGCATCGACCGGAAGACAGCCTAACCAGACACACCCTCAACTTCCGAACCTCCATCGAACTCCTTTCTCAAGGGGTATTCAAACCCAGTGGGTAGTTTTGCTAAACTCAATCTTGAAGTGCGCTTCTAAACACTGCAAGTCGGCAGTTGGGGTGAACCCTGCACTAGGTCCAGGTGCTGCTGCGAGAAGTTCATCGTGCTGCCACGGCGAAGTGCGTCCTGAGGAAAAGCCGTGGCAGTTCATCTGAGTTTATGTAACCTTCCACGGACACAGCCTGTTTCCAGTGGAACTTTGCTCGACTTGGTCATATGGTGTTTGCGTCCTCCTGTCCGACTACTGTGCCGTCTGATATTCCGCCAAACAAGCGTTCAAGCAGGCATGTTGGGACGGGGGCTTCGGTCCAAGTCGCTGTTTCTCCAATTGGCTCGAACTCTGACATCTGCTGCATCACTGACAGCAATGCCTGTACCTGATCAGAATGATACTGACACCAGGCGAACCTCGCCACGGTCACCATCAACCTAAATCCAGACATCTTCTTCTGAATCCTCTTCACCCGAACCTCCGGCACCATCACCATCGCCATCATCCCATCATCGGCCACAGCATCACAGTCATCATCATCATCACCACCACCATAAGGACCATAAGGACCATAATCATCATAATCACTCAGCCAGCTTAATCACTCGACTCTGGCTCAAATCAACCGCCATCATCAGCATCATCATCGTCACCATCCCCGTCGCTGTCGTTGCCGTCATCGTTCTCATTTTCACGATCATTATAGTTTATTCTTCGTTGAAATATTTATCGTCATCATCAACAACAACATCAACACAAACATCAACAGCAGCAGCAGCAGCGGCAGCGGCAGCACCACCACCGCAACCACCGCCACCACCGCCACCACCGCCACCACCGCCACCAGCACCAACACCAACAACAACATCACCATTGTACCTATCCTCATCATCATCCGTTATCACCCGTCATCATCCACCAGCATCCATCCTCGTGACTATCGTCGTCATCATCACCATCATCATCATCATCACAAGAGTTTTCATCGACATCGCTGTCCCCATCGCCGAATTCGCTAGAGTACGTTTCCACATGCCCAAAAAAACCGTTCCTGCCTCAGGTTCGCTTTCGATGCGGGCTTCGTTTCCCACACTTTTGGATATGTTCAAAGAAAGGCTTAAAAGGGGTTTATGCCCTTGATTGGGGCTCGACCAAATGACACGACGCAAAAAAACTCTGAGCCTGCGCATGAGAAATGCCACTCGCCAGCTTGACTCTGATCTGAACCAGTGGCAAACACCCCCGATTTTGATGGACACATCTTGGCAATGCAGGACCTGCCTGGCGGAACTGGCCCAGGAGCTTTTGCCCATATTCCGACATTTCCTGCGCCTTCGATTGCTTCAAGGTGTTCTAACAGATGTCTCTGCAAATAGAAATATGCCTCTGTCTCCATACCAGAGACGCCCTCCTCGTGCATCAAGGTCCAAAGCTTTCCTCGCATCTCAGCAATTAGCAGACCGATACTGCAGAGCCAGGCAGCAGTCTCAGTCAACTTTGCGCAACGTCCCTCACTGAAGATCGACTCACAGAGCAAGCCAGGAAGCTTTCCATGTCTTCAAGCTTCTGCTTGGGCTCCTCCACTTCCAGCTTCTCGAACTGGGCGGAAGGATTACACAGAGATGGGTAAAAACTGGACAGCACGCGGAACCCTTGCAGATGAGGGGTACAACAGGACTTTGAGCCGTCTAACGGCGGTGTGAGCCCTCAATCCACACCTGAACCACGAACCGCCAAAAGCCCCAAAACCACAGCTGCAGCTACTCATCCCCCAATCCTACACCCACAAAACCTCCAGACTCCTCATTACCTCATAAGGACGCACAAGCTCAGATCAAGTCGCCACCTAATTCAGAATACATGGGGACGTCAGGCCAGGATCGGGACGCTGGGGACGCCAGGCACGCGAGGGCCGGGATGCCAGGAACGCTGGGAATGCCAGGACAGGCAGGGACGGCACGCCACGGACGTCACGCCAGGGACGTCAGCAGGGAAGGACTGCGGGATTGCTTCCTCCAAGATGTTCAGGGCCACTCCTTGCGACCCCCAAGCATTGAAGCCTTTTCGCAGCACAGACTCGAAGGTTCTTGATGCAGATGTCAATCTTTGAAGCTTTAGGATGTAGGAGTTTGTGGAAGGGAGAGTCCGTAATGATAGTTCATATTATGTAAAAACATGCTGCCTGGAATGCTCATCTGTGGTGCTCGAGACGATGATGATGACGATGATGATGGTGATAATCATGGTGATGGTGGTGACGATGATGATGGGGATGATTGTTAGGATTATGTTGACTACGATGACGCCTTTGATGCCCTTGATGGCAGTTGCACTGTCTACACAGGTTATGGTGATGTTTATGGTGATGGTTATGAGAATTATGATGATGACCACGATGTTGGTGGTGACCGTGGTGATTGTGATTGCTGTGACGTGGATGATGTTGCATCATGATGGTCATCCTGCTGATGAAGACCATGATGACTATGAGAATGGTGATTATGATGATTATGATGCCCATGATAACTAAGAAGACTCAGGCGACGAACCTCATGATTATGATGACGTTTATGATGCTGGGGGGGGGTGGGCGGGCCGGAAGGAGTGGAGGGGAGAGGCTTGGGTGGCAGGGGCAGGGCTTGGGCTGGGGGGCCTAGGCGGGAGCTGGGGGCTGTGGGTGGGGAGTTTAGGACATTCTTTAAATTCTGAATTCCGAAAGATTTTAGATTCAAAAGAACTAAGAAAACTACATACAATAGATCTTTGAACTCTTTAAGTTTTAAAATCGTATATTAGTCTGGAGAAGAGCGCGAGGACCTGCTGAGGCTTGATGGAGTGAGGGTGGAGCTCGGGTTGGGGTGGTTGGGGGGGTGGAGTGGGTGGGCTGGGCTGGGGTCTGGACCCCCAGCTCAGCCCCAGGTCTCAGCTCCAGCCAACGGAATTTAGCTTTTTTACAATTCTTGCTTTTTCAAAAGTCTGTACATCTTTAATTCCGGACGATTTAACAAATTTAAAGAATGTAAAAAAGCTAACCGTGTTGAAATTTTCTCAATTCCTTAAATTTTAATTCCGGGCGCTTCAAAAATCTAAAGAATCTTTCGTGCTTGAAGCTTTAAACATTCTTCCAAATTTTTAGTCCCGGACGACTTAAGAATTAGAGAAGGTTTCGCTTCAGGTTGTTTTTAACTCTTTCACTTTTTATGTAATTCCGGACGATTTAAAAAGTTTCAAGAGCTCCGTGGGCTGGGGCTGGAAGCTGGGGGCCGGTGCTGGGGTCCAGCCCACGGAATTGAATGCTTAAAATACTCTAACTGCCCTTATTTTTGTCAATAATTATTGAATTCCGGACGATTTAAGAATTTACAGAAGTCAAAAAATACCGTATGCAACTTTTAAAGTTCTCTGAAGTTCTAACTCCGGACGATCTAGAAACTCAGTTAGTTTTTCTTATTTAAAGTCTGGAACTCATGAAATTTTAATTCTGCATATTGTGTATGTATGTTTCATACACAGAGCCAAAAGGTCCTATGTACATACCCAGATACACTCACACTCACTCTAAGCCGGGGCGACGCGGACGCCAGGGATGCTGGGTACGCCACGGACGCGGGGGACGCAGGGACGTTAGGGAAGCTGTGGACGCCGGCTCTGGCATCCCGCGCCCTGTGGGCACGTACTAGCTTGATTGAAGCGAATAAGCCCCACACCGGCATTTCAGGTTCTTCCCACTCGTCTTCTTTCTGCTTGCGGAAGAAGCGGTGAGCCTCAATCGAGACAACACGCATTTCGCAATCGCTGGCTTTCAAGAGTCCAACTGCCAGGCCTGTGCCATACAAGCATGATGCCACTCGACTCTCCAAAACACAGTTCTCTTGGTTCTCAACCTCTCACCCTTCTTAGCCGTCTGCTCGTCTCTTCCCAAAGTCTGCAAGACACTTTTCGAGCATTTGCTCCTCTTTCCAACTGCTCCAATTGTTTTGCCGCAGTTTGGTCTCTGCTCAAACTCACTAGTTTCTCAAAATCTCGCATCCACTCGGTAAATGTTCAAGTCCCATTCCCCTTTCTCACTCTACTGTATCTACTCCCTTTTGAACGGCCTGCTCCTGCTTCACAGATGTTCTTCCCCTGTCGAGTGGCTTGCTCTTCTCTGTCAAACGTTCCAACCGGTTGAATGCCCTGCCCCAGTTTATCGGCTTCTTTGATCCTTCATGCAGTTTGCAACTCTTTCTGCTCTGTTTACTTAGCTTCTTTTGTGAAGTCTCTACTGTCTTTCGAGCGGCTGGCTCCATGACGCAACCCAGAAACTTTAAACCGGATTCTCCTCTTTCTCAGCTTCTCCAGCCTCTTTCGAGCGGTTTGCTCCCCCTTGGATTCAAAACGAATCCCTCTCCAACGCCGCGCTGCTCTTTAGCAACTTCTCTTATGCATTTCGAAAGCTTCGCTTCTTGCTGTCAATACAGTTTTCCTGCGTCTCAGCTTCTCTACAGCACTCTTGGCATCAAATCGTCAGAAGTGCTCCTCTGTCTCTCACCTCGTCGGTTTCCTATCAAGCCGTCTGATCCGCTGTAGTCCCGTCCCAAAACTTTACCCCGCTTTCTCTACTTCCTTCTAATCGCTTCCGAACTGTTTGCTGGCGTCTCTCAACTTCCCCAGTCCTTTTCAGGCGGTGTCGGTTCCTTCGTCAACTGCTTCGTAACTCGTAACTTCTAATCATTCTAATCCCCTTTCCAACGGCTTGCTCTGTTTTCGTAACTGCTATTCACACGGCCGCCGGCTTCTTTTTCGAAGCTTTCTCACACGATCTAATCCGTTTGGAGCGGCTTGTCCAGCTTGAAAAAGCTCTACTCCGCCCCGAGCTTGCTCAAAAATCATTGCTGTCTCGAGTTCCTAAACCTGCATCCTGCTCCAGCTCCCTTTCTCGACTGTTCGAAGTCCTTTTCGAGCGGCATTCTTCATGTCCTCTGCTTCTCCAGGCCCGTTTGAAGGTTCAGTCTTCTGTATCAGCTTCTCTTATTCGCACGGTTTGCCCGCTTTTTCTAAACGCCTCTAGACTCTAGTTTGGTCCCTTTCAAGAGGTTTGCTCTGGTCTTGTCGGCGGTGTTCTTCATTTCTCGTTCTCAGGCTCTCCAACCAGTTTCGAAGGCCTGTCGAGCGCTCTGTACCTCTTCTTCAATCTGCGTTTGAAGCTCACAGCATGTTCGGAGTGGAGTGAGGATATGTTCGATCGCAAGATCTGGACCCCAAACCCACAGGCAAGCCGCCCAGAACACAACGCCCAAACCCGGAGCACCTGACAAATTCGCCCCGTAACTTCATCTGACTATGTCTTCTGCACAGATCAGCTGCGAAAAGGGGCAACGGCAAATGAAAATTCACATGATGCAAGTTCCAGTCTCACGTAATAAGTAAATAACATTTAGAGAAGCTGTGTTAAGATCAGCGAAGCTCCCACTTAGCGAAGCTGTCACTCATGGTCATTTCACAAAATCAAACTAGAGTCAAGCTCAACAGAGTTTTCTCTCCCCGCTGATTATCCCGAGCCTCTCGCTGTTGTGGCATCAAAGGAAAGCGGAAAAGTATCAGGAACACTGCTCTGGCTGCGACACTATTTACAATTTACTATATCACCTCGCACTGCTTGTTACCAATGTCTCTGCCCAGGGCACTGAATCCTGGGTCGGTCGGGTGATGATGGCGTTGAAATTCTCCTCAGGACTCTGGGTATCCTGTGGACTTGTCGATGGGGTAGCCTTAGGCTTCAACGTCCCTTCAATCAGAACCGGAGCCCCTACCCATAGCACTTCGAGCACATTTGGGTCCTCGTCGTCGTCCTCATCGACCAACTCCTTCTTCCTTCGACGAAGACGTTCGAAGAACGTTGGCAGAAGGTGTTCTGCGGCCGGTGCAGCAGGAAGGAGAAATGGGCCTACGATGCTTTACTAGTAGCTGGACTTGGGCGTGCAGCAGAAAGTGGCTGCGCACATATCCTGCTGATTGTGGAGGCTCCGAGTTGCTTGGGAAAGTGCCAGCCCGGATGCCCTCTCGACGCCCACCGAAATCCTCCCAAGTCCCTCTCTGGTGCCTTGCATCATATTGCCGTCGCACATGTCCTCCACGGCAGCTGAGAGCTCCGCCTCCGTGACTTGCTGCATCGCCGCCACCAACTGGCCGGGCTCCATCTTTGAGCTCCGGGGCTCCGGGCCGGGGCCCCGCCCGACGACACGTCCCATTAAAGTTGGGGGGCAAAGAGAGCAGAAAAACAGAGTGGGTGGCACTCGACTCATCCTTGGGTTTCTCTCCTCGCCTCGGCTCTCGGGCTATGCCTAGGCCTAGGCCACCCTGGGGGGCGGATATTGAAAAGTCATCCGAACCCTGCTGCGAGAAACGAGGCTCAAGACTGGCAGCCCAAATCGATCCACGTACTGAATCGTGACCGTGACGCCTCGAACCTGAACTCTTCCCCAAAGGAAGCGCGCGCTACATGACTCCTACTTCGCCTAGACCTTCGAGTTGGCCACAGCTCTGAACCGCCTTCTTGTACAGCAGCTTCTCATCCACGCTGCCCACACCTGCAAGGGCCACAATCCCCTCCTGCGCCTCTCCGGCTCGGAGGCCGTCTCCCCAAGCAACAGCCTCCCTCCCTCTAGGGTTTAGGGTTGTTTAGCCTCCCCAGTCTCTTTTCTGCCTTCACGGTGATGGCGGCCGCTCCATCTCCGCTCGAAGGCCTCCCCGCGGGCGACGGCCGACTTGATCATGAAGCGCGCCTTGCCTCGGGGACGGAGGGCAACGTGGGATTCGAGGGCCTGAGGCGGCGTCGGCCCTCGCATCTTCCGCCTTCTGTGCCTTCAGTTTTAGGCGCTGCACTCGATGCGCGTCGCAGACCGGCATACAGGCAGCAATGGTGGCAGACATACCATGCCTATGCCACTGAATGCTAATGTCAGCGCTGGCTGCGTGCTGTGGAGACCATGGTGGCCGAATCGCTGATCTGCCTCCGGACCTAAGCACTCGAAGCTTTTAGACGAGCTTGAGGGCTCCTGTTCTCTCAGACGAACCACGGAGCCGTCTTCGGAAAAGGGGCATCGTTGATCTTAAACTCTCCGGACTGGGCGAAGAGGAATCCTCGGCTGAAGCTTCGCTGACTCACATTAGCGGTGGCAAACTTAAGGCTTTCTGTTCGGGCAACTGCCGCGGGCGGGAGCCTGTCACAGAGACAGCATCTCCACAGCCCCGAAGAGACAGCATGTTGAAGAACATGGAATACGGAAGCCCGAAAACCTCAACTTCGAAGACGCATGAACTGCGACGCGGTTGCGAAGGCCACTGGCAACTCCGATGAGCAGCTTCGATCCTTGGCTTTTCAGGCTGGAGCCGGAGTGTTTTCAGGAGCCAGGGACGAATCCGTGGGTCTAAGTAAAAGGCACTCCACCTCTGGCGGATCCTGGACAGCATCCCCCCCGGTTTTGGTTTCAGGGATTCGCAAGGGCTTCGGGTTTTCAGCTGAACGATGCGAGCATGTCACGAAGCCAGGTACCCAAACGAAGCCCAAAACAAAAAGCTCCAAAAGCAAATGATAGCCCAGCATCTCTGCTTCGGTGGGATGCCTCGTGTGTCCAGCATCACCGTCTCGGTCGCGAGATTTGTGAGTGACGCAACGATCCGGCTTGCAGGGACAGCCCATGAACGGTTTTACCCCTCCTTCCCTTGATCGAGCCAAGCACCCGAAATAAGCACAGACATGGTGAACGATGAGCAGTAGCTGCAGCTGCTGCTGCTGCTGCTGCTGCTGCTGCTGCTGCTGCTGCTGCTGCTGCCGCCGGTGCCAGTGCCGGCGGCAAGGCCGGCCGCTCCAGCGAAGGCGGCTGCACGGGCGGCGGCGGTGGTGGTGGCGGTTGCCGCGGTGGCGGTGGTGGGGATGGTGATGGTGATGGGGAGAACTGCGATGATGGTGAAGAAGAAGAAGCAGAAGAAGAGATAATAATAATGATGATGATGATGATGCTGATGCTGATGCTGATGCTGATGCTGATGCTGATGCTGATGCTGATGCTGATGCTGATGCTGATGCTGGTGATGGTGGTGGTGATGATGATGATGATGACGATGATGACGATGATGACCATGATGACGATGATGACCATGATGATGATTGTGGTGGGACCGCCATGACGATGATGATGACGTTGATGACGTCGATGACGATGAGGACGATACTGATATTCGCTGATGACCATGGTGCTACCCGATGCCTAGACCTAAGCCCTGAAATCCAAACCGGCAAACCCTCTTGGCAAAGAAGTGGAATTCCTTGCACCCTGGACCTTCGAACAGTTGCTTGGGCCCCCTGCTTCGCCGTGGTGGTGCACCAACATGCCTCGGACGGCGGGAAACATGACCGTGCCCGTCCAGTCCCTACACCATGACAGTCCTCAAGTCCAGGGCCGAGGCAGCACATCATACTCAGGAACATCCCGGAGATCCGACGGCACAAACGAAGCGCTGCAAAGGTGCTGTGCGACCCCGGGAAATGGCGCAGCAGAGCCAGGAACACCTGAGTTCGGTATGGGGCAGGAAATTCAGGAGTAACAGCATCCCGAATCGCTGAATCCTTCACACCAGACCTCAGACATCTCATCCGGGATCTGGTAAGTGCAAACCTGAAAGTCGACTCCAAGACCTTGCTCCCCTGAGCTTTCACTTCTCCAAATTGAGACGAGGCGCACTTCCACATCTGCTCGGGCTCCCGGTTTGAAACTGCAGTCACAGATTTTCATACAGACTGAAGACCACAGAAGTATTGCTCAGCATCAATGGGGCCCTACTTCGATGCTACTCCGAAGACTGCAGTCACTGTAGTGTCGCTAAGCACTTTTAGTCTTTTGGTATCACGGATGATTTCGACCTACCACTCAACTTTCGCAGAACACAGCCCAATCGAATCTGACCGGTTTGATCAGCTCAAGCACATTCTGTAGCATCCTCTGTACAAGCTTATCGTAAGCTTGTCCCTTACATGAGAAGCCAAGCAAGTTGATTCCGGCAACTCCCAACACACATCCGCATAAATGTCCGAAACAGCTTGAGGTTGAGGCACTTACTTTCGAACGATGCGCTGGACTAGTTGGATTCAGCACGCTTTTCGGATTTTGCGTGGGTCTCGGGCACCACGCTGGTGACAATTAGCCCAAGCACCGTTTGCAATGCAGGGCAGTGCCTCTACGTTGCACACTCTTTCAGGCTACTGTCCGCTTTTCAAACGAGGAAGCTTCCCGCCCACGCTCCTTCATGTTGTAAGAGAGGGCCCAACCTGGGGTAGACTGCTCCAAACGCTGACACAAGGTGTACTTACATGATGTTTACATTACTTCCTCTGCGTCCTGTTGACCGGGATGTGTACAAAACTATACAAACAAAAACCTGGAGGCTTAGAACACATCCTGCAGGAAAGGCACGGTTGTCTATCAGCTTTAAGCAGCCCTTCAGCACCATGAGCAGGCCACCTCAGCCAAAGTCGCAGAAGTGCAGCGATTAAGTGAGCTGGGTGCGTGGTTGTCCTTGCAGAAGAGCTTGAGCCGCTTCGGGTCAGGGAGGCAATCCGAGTTTTGGATGAGGCTCTCTTGCGGAGACCAGCTCTTCATGAAGCCCCTTTCGGTAAGGCACCCGTCTGAACCTTGCATCCTGAATTCCGACTCCGGCGAACCCACCCTTGCAAGGATCACCGAGCTGCTCAGTGCGACGAGCACATCGCCAACAGCGAATCTATCCAGAAGATCGTCCAGTACGACGAGGAACGGCTGCGCACTTGGCAGGTGAAGCTTGGACGATCCCACTTCACAGAAAGGATTGAAGCATATAGCACCGGCGCTGCGGTCTAGTTTCGCACCGTAAGCGATGCAACCAAAAATTGCGGTGCCAAATATAGCGTCAGAAGTTACTCATTACAGAAGCCATTTGGCAACCCTGCACATACCATTCTCTATGGTGCCCCTTGAACCCCTATTGTTGTCTGAGACGCCTCAGCGCCTCCTCGGACACTGTGGTGGGCTCCACCCTGAAGCACTTTTTTGGGCTTCAAGTTGTTGGATCAGGGTTCGAGATTTGGCTTCGGGTCTGCAGTTTAGTTTTTCCTTGTTGCTGGGGCTTTGAGTGTGACAGATGTGCCCACCCGACGACGGCACAGGATGATGCAGGCATTGCTCATCTGCACTGCATGCACACGCGATCGCCTTGGAAGAAGCTGATTGCGAAGGCCCACTAAGGGTCCTCACAAGCTGAAACGAGACAAGTCCAAGCATGGCCAGGCCAAGACTCACTTCGACCGCAACAAAACCCAAATCGCACCGACGCGCACGGATCCGTCCCATCCCCACGTAAGCACACACACACACACACACCCGCACGTGCACACACACACACACACTGATGGATTCGGCCAAGAGCAAGAGAGGGCAAGAATGGAAAGAGAAAGAGGCATGTTGTACGAAGATGAAATGAAAGTTTTTGTACCACGTATGCCAGACCACAGGAATGGCATACGAAAACAAGATGAGATGATCCG